ACCTATCCAGGTTTTTCTGCAGTCTTTCCCTTTCTCATTCAGATCCTTGGCCAACAACAACCTGCAGACGCTGCCCAGAGACATCTTCAAGCCCCTGGACATCCTCAGTGACCTGTAAGGCTCCTTCTGCCCAGCCCAGACCTCAGTCAGCCTGAGGGGCTTGGTACTGGGAGTGTGCTGAGCTTGTGCATGGGATATTGGCTTGGCAAGGTCCTCCCACCAGCTGACTACCCCACATCCATGGTGTCTTCCCCACTCCTGGCTTGGAGCAGCTCTCATTTCTGCTCTTTTGGATCCACCTCCCTCTTCAGGAAACTTGCTGGTAGCAGGGGGCAGGGACAGGGTTGCAGCAAGGTCCTGGTGCTTGGGTGACTCCAGGTCTCCTTTTGCAGGGACCTCCGGGGCAATGCGTTCATTTGCGACTGCAAGATCAAGTGGCTGGTGGAGTGGATGGAAAGCACCAACACCACTGTGCCTGCCATCTTTTGCAGCAGCCCCGACCGCTTCCAGGGGCAAAAGATCCGGGACCTGGCACTCAAGGACTTTGACTGCATTACAACAGGTGGGGGTCGACACCATCTTCCCTGAGTGCCTGGCAGGCTCCCTTTGCGGGCGGGAGGCAGGCAAGGGTTGTGATGGGCTAGATGTGATTGGAAAGCCTTGGAGCCCTGGATGGGGTGACTGGGTGTAACTGCTTCTTCTCCCTCCAGATTTCGTAGTGCATCAGGTTCTGCCCTTCCAGTCAGTGTCTGCTGAGCCCTTCATCTACTCCAGTGACCTCTACATCACTCTGGCCCAGCCCAGCGCCAGCAGCTGTACTGTGCTCAAATGGGACTATGTGGAGCGCAAGCTACGGGACTTTGACCGGATTCCTGGTAAGAGCCAGATTCATGGCCAGTGGCAGTGAGTGTGAATGCAGGAGTATACCTGTGCATCTCCAGCACATGCACATGTGCTCTATGTATGTACAAGGAGGATGTGCCTCTGTGTGCACGCATGCAGGAATGTATGCTCCCATCTCCAGCATGTGTGCCTGCATGTACTGTGTGGGTGTGCAAGTGATTGTGGAACGGGTTCTGTGCATGCCCTATGCCTGGGATTGTGGGGGGGCAGAGCATGCCCCTGCCGTGACCCTTTCTCACAGCCCTGCTTGCCCACTGCAGCTCACTCGGCCGTGTACTGCAAGCCCATTGTGGCTCAGTCACAGCTTTACGTGGTGGTGGCCCAGCTCTTCGGCGGCTCTTACATCTACCGCTGGGACACCAACGTGGATAAGTTCATCAAGATCCAGGACATCGACAGCCAGACCATCCGGAAGCCCAATGACATTGAGGCCTTCCAGATTGATGGTGACTGGTACTTTGTCATCGCTGACAGCTCCAAGGCTGGCTCCACCAGCCTCTACCACTGGAACCAGAACGGCTTCTACTCCCACCAGGCCCTGCACCCCTGGCACCGGGACACAGATGTGGAGTATCTGGAGAATGACGGCAAGCCACGGCTCATCATCTCCAGCAGCTCCCAGGCCCCCATTATTTACCAGTGGAACCGGTCCCAGAAGCAGTTTGTGCAGCAGGGGGAGGTGACGGAGGTGATGGACGTGCAGATGGTGAAGCATTTCAAGGTCAAGGGGGACAACTACCTGTGCCTGAGCCGCTACATCGGGGACTCCAAGGTGGTCAAGTGGGAGGGGCTGCGCTTCACAGAGGTGCAGACCCTGCCCTCGCGTGGCTCCATGGTCATGCAGCCGTTCATGGTGTCCCAGCGCCAGTACATGGCCCTGGGCAGTGACTTCTCCTTCACGCACATCTACCTCTGGGACGAGGAGAAGCAAAAGTTTGTCAAGTTCCAGGAGCTCTCGGTGCAGGCGCCCCGGGCCTTCCGCTATGTCCCCATCGAGGAGATTGACCTCCTGCTGGCCCCCAGCTTCAAGGGCAACACGCTGGTCTACAGGCACATCGTGGTGGATCTCAGCCTGTAGGAGGTGCCACCGTCGCCCACCCTCACCCAGACACTGTGCACGGAAAGTGGTTCTTCCACTTGGGACACCTTGCCCCGAGGGGGAGACTCAGGCTAAGGCTTCCTGCCTGTGCCCACTGCTGCCCCTGGATAGACCTGCCCCTGGATGTGGGTGTGCCCAAAACATACACACTCCAGAAGGAGACACACATCTGGGGATCCCCAGCACACCTACACACCCCCTTCCAAAGGCAGGCTCACACCCTTGGGCACGTACACACTCAGCACACCCCCCAACTGAGCACTCATACCCAACAAACACATGCGTGTGCCCCCACATACGTGCGCAGTCTTCCCCCCCAAACAAGTGTGCCTCCATGCACGTGTGTGTGCCATTGTCTATGCAGCCAGAAGACACACACATGCTCAACCCCTGTCCCTCATCCCCCATCACAGACAACCTCACAGCCACAGCATCCCCATCCCCAGCTCACACAAACACACACACACTTGTGCCCATGCTCAAGTGTCTGTCCATTCCCATGTCTCTCTGTGCACAGGCACCCCATATCCTGGGTATGCCCATTCCTACGCACACCCATACCCACTGCTGCACTTGCCCACACCCATCTGTACCCCACTATGCACAGTATTACACATGGGCTTGTGTACAGACTGTGAGCAATGCACAGGCCATATTGTCCTTCCACAGGCACATGTCCATAGGGGACATCCCTATAGACTGCAGACCCTGCTATCCCCTTCTGCACACAACCATGTGGCCCTGGTGCTCAGGCTGGGAAGAAGCACCCAACTCTGCAGCTTCTGCTACCCTGGACACAGGTCTCACTCACGCTCAGGATGCAGAGATGGAGGTCCAAGCACTGTGCCACGGCTGCTGCCTATGTCTGCTTGGACCAGTTCGAGGAGTGGTGCAGTGGGAGTGCTCACCCGACCTGTTCCTGCTTGCTGAGTGAGGGCCCCCCAGGCCTTCTCAAATGCAGTGGAAGTCAAGTTACCCTCTGCAATCTCCCCACGTGCCTCAGTCGCCCCTTCCTTGCAATGGGTACAGTAGGGCTCCCTGTCCTCCCTGCTCTGCTGTAAGTACCAATAATTACACATCCTCCCTTTGAAGCACTGGCTCCTGATTTGTCCCTGCACCTGGTCCCCATCAGGTTTCCAGAGCAGGGCTTTCTGTCATGCATGATGGGAGGATGCTGGGCCCTGGATCTCAGAATAGAGAGCAGGCCTTGCAGTTGGGAGGCAGCACAGGCAGGCGTGCTCAGGGCAGGGATGGCTTCATCCAGGAATGCCTTGATCCTTGCCCCTTCCTCCCTTTACAGCACTGCCTAAGTCTGGTCATTAGCAGTCTGAGTCTTGTGGGTGCAGTCACTTCCCTGGCCCAGGTCCAGTGAGTATGATCTGTATGAGCCTCGAAGGCCATTTGCCTTCCAGGAACCCCCTGCTCATGAGTCATGGCCATCTGGACAGTGCCTATGGAGACAGGCTGGCCTTGGCACACTGCTTGCTTGCTTCTCTGATGTTTGCAGTTGTATCCCTTGCTTGTACTGTGTGTGCATAGTCTGGTTACCAGCCAGAGCGTGGACATCCCAGTGACCCAGGGCACAAGCCTAACACATTAGTCCGGGGGCAGTGGAGATCGTCAGGCACACACACAGGGACATGACGCAGAAGCTGAGTGCAGCAGGCAGATATAGAAGGGCAGCTAAAGGGAAAAGGCTCTGGTCCCCTTGGTGGCCGTGTGTATTTCTACCCAGTTTTTACTGCCTGCGGGGCTCAGGCTAACAGGTGATGGCTCAGCCTCAAACCATCTCTTGGGGCCAGCCATTGGGTTGCATGCTGCCTTACTCAAGGTACTTTCTCCCCCAGGGTCCACTCTTTATGGCTTATCCACAAACGAGCTCTGCATCTCTCAGTTTGTCTCTGTCCCTGCTCAGCCCAACTCTGCCCAGTAGCTTTGATCTTGACCGCGAGAAGAGGGGATGAGGGAAGGATCAGCTGCACGTGTTAGGTTTTTCGAACAGGTGCTGCTTGAGATAGGAGAGAAAAGCCTACTGCCATTGCCTGCTGGGGGAGTTACTTCCTTTAGCTTCTGTGCCAGGACCTGTGCCAGGTTGCAACCCGCTGGTCATCTTCGTCAGAGGTTACCTTTGCACAGGGGGTACCTGGAATGACAGGTGGGGGGGACGGGGACATCTCAGTGCAAAGACCAAATCCTGCTCTCTTCCCCTCTGCCTGGTTTGAGACAGCGCTGCCCCAGTCTTTCCCTGCAGCCCACAAGGCCCCGTCCTGCTCCAGCTGTAGGCAGGGGTGGGCTCCAGCCTGCAGGCCCCCCTGGGATGGGTACCAGGACAGAGCGATGCTGAGGTTCCTTGTTCTTGGTGTGCGGCGACTGGAGAATCGCCTGTCTGAAGCAGTGATCAGAGGAGGTTCTTTGGGTAAATGTGATCTCTTTTATTAGACCAACTAAATAGCTGGAAAAATTGATTCAGCAACGAGGTTTTATCGCCACCTGCTGGGAAGCAGGACAGGGAAGGCGGGCATGCTCCAGGCACTTCTCTCCGCATGCCATCCTCTTACCAGCTCCCTCCTGTTGCCTCTGACTCCCCCACCAGCGTGCTGTTCCAGCCCCTGGGCAGGACACTCACCGCGTTATAACCGAGAGGTGCGAGCTCGACAGACATGCTTCCAGTAATAAACACACTGTGACATTCCTGCGTGCCACCTGCTCTGCTTTGTTGTGGCACGGGGCTCTGCCAGGGAACCCAGCACCCGCGTCACTGGGGCAAGGAGTGGGGCCGCCTGCTTTGGGAGTGCACAGCAAAGTGCTGGGTGGTGGCGTCCTGTCCTGATCTCCACTTCTTCCAAAACTAGCCACACCATGATCCCATCTCTCCTCTCCCCACACCAGGTCGCATCCTCTTCCCTGAATCCCACTAGATTGCTGCTCCTTCATTCAGCAATCTCTCTCTCTCAGGGAATTGGGGGTGGTAAGGGCTGGAAGGATCCCCTTGCTACAGTGAGGTCTGTGACAGGGATCGCCCAGCTAGGTTTAGGCATAGGGGCTGCAGCCTCTCCAAGCTTGCTTTTGTAATGGGGCTAACAGGGGTCTCTGTCCTGGGTTTGGGGCTTTGGAGCAGCCCAAGCTAGGATGAGAGTTAGGGTTAGGGTTAGAGTTAAGAAGTGGTGCAAGGTTGGAGGCTCAGTGCATGTTTGGGGCTGATAAGGTTGGCATCCAGATTCACAGGGTTTTACAGGCTAGGGCTAGGTGGGGAATACTTCTGAGTTAGAGTTAGGCTCGGGCTGGTCTGGTTGCTCTTGCTGGACTGAGGCTTGACCCTCTCACCTCACCAGATGCAGTTGCACCCTGTAGAAATGAGAGGCAAGTCCCCTTGGTGGATGTCTAAGGCATCTAAGATCCCTAGATCAGGACCTCCACATTGGGACACCCCCACCGGGATTGGGACCCCCTGCATCAGGACACCTCCACTGGAGTCAGGACACCCCTGCTGGGATTGGGACCCCTGCTTTGGGGGGGTTAGAGATTTTTCCCAGGGGGGCTCTGATTGGCAAAGGCCTCTGGGCCCAGGCCCCATGGGCCTGTGTGTTAATCAACCTCTGGGTGACATGGGAGCCTTCAAGGTACAGGAGCACACAGGGAAACCGGCTGCTTCTACATCCCCAGGGACAGGAGCTCTGTTCTCATGCCCATCCTTCGGGATTTCCCAACTCATAGGTGTTTGACACCAGTGTTTCATCAAAGGGTATGACTGAGTCAGGGATTCACCAGGGCACGGACTTGCCCTTTGGTCTTCTGACACAGGAACTCGATGCATTTTATGAGCATAAATTGTTTCTCATGAGGTCCCTGTGCTGGGAGCATCATTGTCCTCTGCACCTTGCTGAGCCAGAAGGAACTGCTATGCCTTATGCTCCAGTCCAGCAAAGCCCTTGGGCATGGGTGGGATGTTGCATGCCTAAATCCCCTTGACTTTACTGCTCAGTGTTGCTGAACTGAGCTTGTGGAGACTGCCTTACCCGAGTGACCTACGTGTCTCGCAAGGAACACAATGCACTGCACTAAGACAACAAGTGGAGCGTGCTTGGATTGGCCTTGTGACTTTCTTTGCAGCCCAAGAACAGCATGACCCTTGTGCAGTACAGTACCACATTGCAACACATCAGCCCCTGTCTCGTCACAACTCCTGCTCCTGGCTTTGTGAGTCTTCTCTTCCTGTGACGTTGCTCCGGGGAAAGCCCTTGCCAAAAATGCAGTTTGCAGCTGCCAGCTACAGCCTGCAGACTTCTGCTCAGTGGAAGCAATACAGGGATTACTTGAATGTCTGTATTTCGTGCTGAATCCTGTGACCTTTTGTGATGGGTTGAAGCGCAGCCGCATGATTTTTTTCTATGCACTGCTGTTTTGTGTGAGGCCTTTTTGTGGCTCGCTGGAGCAGCTCGCAATCAGCTGGGAGCCAAGCGTGCAAACAAACCTTTCAAAGGCACCATGGCAACACAGTGCCTAGTGACCGTGCCCTCTTCAGAAGTGCCATGGCCTTCCAGGAAGAAATGCCAGTAAAGCGATCTGTGTCCTGTGTCCCTAGGAGCTTCCAGAAGGATTGGGATTGATTTTCTGCTGTGTTTACAAAGCAGCAGTGAGCAGGTCACATTTTCCCTTTTGCTTTTTTTCTTGTTGGAGGCCTGTGACTTTGGAGCCTTGTTTGGCTTTGCATCTTCACATAGAGAGGAAGGCTACGGCCCAGGACCGTCCAGCACAAGCCCACTAGGGTTATCTTGGGGCCTGGGATTGAGTCAGCCCTTGATTACAACTGGCAATTCCAGCGGGACACTGATGGGCCACGTGAAGCACCAGTTAGGGTCACCCCTGACTAAACCACTCCATCTTAAGTGTCTGTCCAACCTATTATAGGATCACAGGAAAGCCTATGATGCCTTCCTGGAAGCATAATCAGTTGAGACCCACCCGGGAGGAGGATGTTCTGGATGTCCCTTTTAGTGCCGATGACTGAAAGCACCCTAGTTGCAGCTCCTTTCATTTTTTAACCAAGGCTTTGTGGCAATGGACACAAAGGTGGTGTAGCTAGGACAGTTAGAGCTACTGAGGGCTTGAGCCAGGTACTGGGGTCCGTAGCAGGAGGACTGGGCTTGTAGGAAGGATGGGAAGAAGCAGAGGTGGAGGAATGGCTTCAGAGCATTAAACTCAGTGTGCATTTCTCACGGGGTATATGAGACTCCTCCGTTTCCCTTGGCTCTCTGAGCAGTTTCACCCACAGGTGAGCACGGGGGATGCAGCAGCGTCCCCCTCCACGGTACCATCTTTGTTGCAAGGGGACCAGTCACCCAGCAGCTGGGAGGTGGACCTGCCACCATCAGGAAGAGCACCTGGGGAGAGCTATGGATATCACATCTGCTCGAAGAAGCTTGCCTGCCTATGTCCTTAGACCAACACGGCTCCAACCAAGAACCCTACAGCAGGGCCAGGACACTGTCCAGGGAAAAGGACCTGGCGGCAGGGCTTGTAGCAGTTTGCTCTGTCCTGGGAAGATCCGTGACGCTGTTCACGCCGTCCATGGTGCTCCCGAGGGAAAGGTTTTCACACCTGACGTGCGCCAGGCCCTTCCTGCACAATAGACCGCGAGGTAAGGACAGGCCCGGGTCCCAGCCACCAGCCACTCGGTCACCGGGGCTCAGCGGTGCTGGCTGGGCACATCCGAAGCTCGAGGCCGGTGGGTGCAGAGCCGCTCTCCCCTCCCCACAGGATGGGGCAGGCAGAGCGTGTGGCGCTTCAAAGCAGCTTGTGGCTGGGGGTGCAGGGCTACACAGTGTGCCCACCCACTACCCTGGTGGCAGATGGGGGCAGGGGGAGGTGTTGCACTGCACTGGGGTGTTTCATTTGGTTTGGGGAAGCCCTGCAGCACAAGCCACATCCCTCCCTCGCAGCTGAGCCAGCAGCAGCCACCAAGCCCATCCTGGCATAGAGCAGTGGGCACCTCCTGGGCAGGGCCCTTTTAAGGGCGCGGCCCCTTTAAGGAGCATGCGCAGTTCGCGGAGCCCAGGGGTTGGGCAGAGGCAGTTCCCTGCAACATTCAACTTGCTACAAGCGCTTCCTGTAGCTGCGC